ACTGCTTCCCTGCTTCTCAAGACACTTCTGGCCGATATGCGGTACATACTGCATACATATGTATACAACCGCGTAACAAACAGGCTATTCATTCATGATTGGTATAAATATCGAGTTCATTAAATTAACGATTTTACTCTTAAAATCTCAAATATTGAAACCGTTAAAGACTGACCTGGCGTCTTATCTAGAAACGTAAATAGCTTAGAATAGATAAAAATTGAATTGAAAGCTTAGTCTAATATATTTAGTTATAATTCAAAACTATTAAAAATTAAACTTCAATAAACTAAAATATATTTCTAAAAAATCATCAGAAAATAATTATTTAGTTTTTTATAAAAATCTCTCTCGAGCAATATAATAAGTCTTAATTTTTCACAAATAAAGTAAGAGTAATTAATTTATGAGTTCGAAAATAGTAGTTCCTTTTTTTCTATTAACGTGAGAATCTCTGAAGACCAGCCACCTAACCTAACCCAATACATTTCAAAAAATTTCTTAAATGTTCACTTAGATTACTCATAATATTTGTCGTTTAAGCTACCCGAAAATTAATTGTAAGTCCTTTCATTGCTAAAGAGCTCAACTGATATTACTGATCATTGAATTCTGAGGTTCGTTTGTACAAAGATCAGTCAGTTCCATTATACTGGATAATAAAATTTAATAAACTATTCGAGTGTCCAAGTTTATTTGATGAAGTGAAATATGCAGCACAGGGCTTCCAGCTTTAAGATATCATGAACTTAGCCTTTAATTCTGAAGATCGCCTACTGAAAACCTAGACGAGGTTAGGTTAGATTATGACGTCGATCCTAACAGGGATCTTACTTAGACAACTTAGAGCCGTTGTGTTATCTAAAACTCCTTTATAATAAATCATAAGACAATAATACAATATAACAAACAATAATACCATAACAAATCGACAAAGCGCTTTTAGCCTATCACAAATTTTTATAGACGACTAATATTAGTTTCTGCTAAGTCTTCTGCTTCGCCAGGAAACCTCAATTAAAACAATGACCAGTTACTTAGTACTATTAACTGTCTGTCTAATAATCTGCTGGCCTCTATAAACATGTGCCCTTTTCGAATTGAAACAATAGTTATCATAAACACTGTAGCTTAATTAGTGTTTTAAAAGGAACACAACATTTGCTGATCCTCTTAAGGATACTTCTGTGGTACTTTGAGTTTTGTGTTTAGTTAGACATATCCAATTAGGTCGAAGCGAATCTAATCAAAATAGATACTGTTTTCATGCCTAGACGCCAGATTATGTGCTAAACCTCAGCTGATCCTCACTGATCTGCAAAACTCTCGCAGTTTGTGGTATGCTATACTATAGTTCTTAACAGACCATGTACACTCGAGTACATTGAGAAAGTTACTGTATTGCAAATATAAATATTCTGCATTTTTTTTTTTTTCAAATTCAATTATGCTTGGCGCCCATGCTTATCAGACTCACTTCAATGATCAGTGATCAGTTATACTTTTTAATTTAAATTTTTTAGTAATTTTCCATTACGAAGTTAAATTTTGTATATAATTTGGTTAACTTATATGATATTTATGTAGCATGCTGTGCAAAAATAGAATGTTTGCTATCTGTTTGAATCTTTGGAAATGAACGGCGCCGTCTATGTATATCTCTTATTTGCAATAGCACTCAAGTAGTTATCTCATTAGCGGCATTTTATTTGCGCTATCTGTTTGTGTTATCACTTTTGCGCTTACTAAGTACGTTTCGTGCCGCTTCTTTGGAGTGTGTGTTTAAAAGCAATTTGCAATTTTTTTGTATAAAAAAATTAATAATGATTCTATAAAAAAAATAATAATTCTAAATAAACATCACGGATCCATGCGCTGTAGTCGGAAGTGATTTATTGTATGCTTAAGTGGCGAATCGTGTGGCGCTTCAACACCTTTGAACTCTAGCTGTAATGAGTTTTAAATTGCCGCATAAATAATTAAGAAAACGCTAATTGTTGCTGTCGACATATTTTTGCGATTAATCGACATTTATTGGTGTGTGAAGCGATGCAAACCGACTTACATGTCATTCGAGCTTTTGATTAAAATTTCAGTATTTGCTTACTCTACGACAATATTTTTTGCTTTTGTTTATTTTCGATGAACACACGCACTTTGCACTTGCCGCATTGACTGACTGATCGCATATTAAGTAGAAGTAACGCGATCGCCCACAGTGCACAGTGCACTGCAGTGGCGGGGAGGGTTATCATCATTACTAAATATCCATATGTATGTATGTGTGTAACCAAGCATACATGCGAGCCGCAGACTAATTTCAAGCTGAATTGGCAATAAAGCCAATATAAAGGAATTGTGCGATCAGTGATTGTACTCTGATACTTCTCTCACTTCAATTCGCTGCAGACACTTTGCTGTAGCTGTGTAATGATTCTCGGAAGCGCCTCTTGTTTGTATTTATATATTTAATACCCTCTACTACAGTCCAAACAAACTACTAGCAGTAATGATCGCCACTGATCATAATGATTACTGCTGAACGTTGGAATACAGTCAACGTGTTTCTTAAGTTTTGTTTGCTTTGCCTTCATATGATAGATATTTGTACAAGAAGGCAAAACCTTTCTTCAAAGTAAAATGCTACAATAAATTCACTTCAGTTCGGTTTTAATGACAGCGCAGGAAAAAGATCAAGAGTTTACTCCGCGGCGTTTCAAGAGCGCTGGATGCTAAATCATATCAAAACAAAAAGTCAAAGAAGAGCGGCGCAAAAGAGGAAAATGAGTTAAGTAAAAATCATTGGCAGCGTTAGCAGCGCCAGACAAAGCGACACGATCATTACAAGATCACTGATCACCGATCAGCGTTGGCGTACCAGGCTCGTTGGCAGTTAAGGAAAAGAAATAAGTGAAGCTGCGGCGCTGCGGGTAGCGATAGAATGACGTTCGCTCGCGCATTTCGTAGTTAAGTTGTCTTGCTTGCCTGCGGCGGCTTCGTTGATGGCGGTGGCGGTCTTCTACCACTGTTTGTTGTCCCCAGAGACAGTGGCAGTAAGAGACTGTTGCATTTTTCCCGTCCTATATGTTTACCATGCGCTGCCAACCGCGCCAACTTAACCACTCTTGTGGCTCAGCAATGCACGATCATTAAAGGTATTTTTCGTGGGTAACAACGAGGCACTTTTTTGTGAGTTCCCAGCGATTAGGCATACACACACATCGACTGCGCGTATAAGTAGTTTGTCAGCTAGCCGGTCAGTTAGTCAGCTACTTGATCATTTTGTTAGTCAGTATGCGCCGGTAATGACCAAGTTCGTTTCCGTTGCTGACAGACAGACAGGCGGAGGCAAGAAGACTAGCATACACATACATATGTACATATATTCATCGTGAGTCAAAAGCTTCTGCCGCCTTAACTGATCCTCCTTCTTATTGCAAGCGCTACTGCGCTTCTGGTCAGCGTTGGCAGCAAATACCATCATGTTGCGTTGCGCCATCCCTCGTCGCTTGTTTGCGTTCGTTTTTCGCACGTTTAAAGCAATTAGTACTAAAAATAAATGCGATTGCTGTGAGTAAGTACTTGCCGTGGTAATGCGCTTGTTTGTGCAAAAAAGGTAGAAGGGAGCGTGAAAAGTGAAGTTCATGATCACTTAAAAAGCGCTTTAGCGAAGATCGGCTATACTTGTATAAAGAGTTGCAGCTGCTTTGCAAGTATTTTACTTTTATTTCATTAAGTCAACTGCAAAAAGCAAAGCGACATTGTGATAAGGCAGTTATATATACAAATAAATGGAAATGAATTACAATAATTGCGTATAACATCTAATCCAACAAACGATTTACGGTATTAAAGAAAAACAACAGCAATAAGTTTAAGAAGGTATATGTATATACATTATTATTTTCGGCAACTATAGCAAGTATGGTTACAAAATTACAACAACAACAATAACAAGATATTTATAAATTTAAATTTTCTTATTAATTTTGAACAAGTTAATTTGAATAATTTAATTAAATAATGTTGATTAAAAAAGTTAAAAAATAATTTTTTCTGAAGGACATGACAAATAAACAAAATGCTTTTAGCTGTTTTTTTTAATTTTCCAAAGTAAAGCTTATTAAAAATAATTATTGTTTTTTAACATACATTTTCAAAACAAAAATTTTAATAATA